AAACTATGGGATGGAGTAAGTAACAAATTGTGAGTAATATAGTAACAAACTATGGGATGGAGTGAGTAACAAACTGTGAATAATATAGTAACAAACTATGGGATGCGATTAACAAACCGTGAGTAATGTAGTAACAAACTATTAGATGGAGTGAGTAACAAACTGTGAGTAATGTAGAAATAAACTATGGGATGGAGTGAGTAACAAACTGTGAGTAATGTAGAAATAAACTATGGGATGGAGTGAGTAACAAACTGTGAATAATATAGTAACATACTATGGGGTGCGAGGAACAAACTGTGAGTAATGTAGTAACAAACTATGGGATGGAGTTAGTAACAAACTGTGAGTAATATAGTAACAAACTATGGGATGGAGTGAGTAACAAACCATGAGTAATGTAGTAACAAACTATGGGATGCGAGTAACAAACTGTGAGTAATGTAGTAACAAACTAGGAGATGGAGTGAGTAACAAACTGTGAGTAATGTAGTAACAAACTAGGGGATGGAGTGAGTAACAAACCATGAGTAATGTAGTAACAAACTAGGGGATGGAGTGAGTAACAAACCATGAGTAATGTAGTAACAAACTATGGGATGCGAGTAACAAACTGTGAGTAATGTAGTAACAAACTATGGGATGGGGTGAGTAACAAACCGTGAGTAATGTAGTAACAAACTATTAGATGGAGTGAGTAACAAACTGTGAGTAATGTAGAAATAAACTATGGGATGGAGTGAGTAACAAACTGTGCGTAATATAGTAACAAACTATGGGATGGAGTGAGTAACAAACTGTGCGTAATATAGTAACAAACTATGGGATGGAGTGAGTAACAAACCATGAGTAATGTAGTAACAAACTATGGGATGCGAGTAACAAACCATGAGTAATGTAGTAACAAACTAGGGGATGGAGTGAGTAACAAACCATGAGTAATGTAGTAACAAACTATGGGATGAGTGAGTAACAAACCGTGGGACATGTCACAATCCATACCTGGTGTATTCATTGACAAACAGCTGGTAGATGTGGTGTTTGAGGGGCTGAAGTACACACACATGGAGAGCTCGCTCTATGATAGCATCCACATTCAGAATCTCATTAGACCGCAACTGGCAAAAACAAAAAATCTTAACTATTAGTATAAAGATTGGATTACTAATGCTCCATCAACACAAAAGAGGTAATTAGGCCCTATAGAAATTCTGTGTTAAAATCAAGCAGTTCGACATTCTCGTATATGCTGCTATATGGATGGCCATTTTGCAATTAAATGTTTTGATTGGAAGATTAAAATATGTGTAGTTCTTTATTGAGATTTGAATTTCGGTTGTTTACACGAGACTCAAACCAGGTATACCTCCAGTCGTTCCCTCCTCTCCCCACTTCACATTGTCTTAGGTAAGATCACTTACCCGTATTCTCTCCGTCTCTATCACATCCTCCAGCTCATGTTTTACCAGGTAATTCCTGATACCTGTCATAAACTGGCGTACCTGTGCGAGTGAAATAGACTTATCAATGCACATATCACAATCATTTAATGGGTGTAAAATACAAATATCCTCCTACAGGGCATCATCACACTTCATTTAAAATCATAATTTTAATCTACAGATTGATTTGGTTTAAATTTGAAACCATTGAACTGTACGAGAGAAATGTTTTGTTTACTACGTATCAGGTAAAGCTAGGTTACTTGAGTATGACCTACATTTCTGGTGACATTTCCTGGGTTGGTCTCCGGACTCTCTATGGTACACTGTATAAAGTTGGTTATTGTACTCCCAAATGTGGTGCTCTTGTCCTCGGACAACCTGTAGTGGCACGACAGGTATATACAGACTGACTTAACATATCACATATAACACAAGACTCCAGATATATCTCACTACAGACTGACTTAACATATCACATATAACACAAGACTCCAGATATATCTCACTACTCAGATATGTTTTCACGACGTCATGTTTTTGTATTGTTTTATGCCCCATCATGGATTTAAGACAATTTGGTCAATATTCACAACATTATCACCACATGGCAAAAATATGCAAAAATATACCTGTAAAAGTTGTTTCTTTTTGACAAAGAATGAGTTAAAGGAGTGTGTTAGAACTCTTGACTTGGTATTGATAAAGAATTTGTTAGAACTACATGTATTGACTTTAGTCGTGATGTTGTCCTAGAACATTTGTACCAGGTGACACTTACTTAATGATGTAATCCCGTATTCGTGTCTCAGGGTGCTGACTTTTAGGCTTGTGGTGTTTTGGGGCCACAGGATGTGCTGTAAACACAATAACCCCAAATAAAAAAGAATGTCTGGAAATGTTAACATCCACTGAACATTTTCATACACTTGAACCATTCAGACATGGAAGATCATCTGAACTGGTATAGCATACTTGAAGGACAGTAATATCTAAATAAATACAGCATACAGGATGAACAATTATAACTGAGCAAATTTAACATTTATTATCTCTTATTTTCAAAACAGGGCCTGATTTGAGCTCTCTATAGGAACTGGAAAGGTTAAAATTATATATTTTTTTACAACAAAGTCTGAGATAAATAAAAAATAAATACTGTAACTGTTTAATGTGATATTAATATCTGATTTAGATAATCATGTTGCTGTTGTGACAAAAAGTATCACAGAAATACTGTTTCTTACCAAGTACAATGAAAAGTTACATCAACAGTTTACCAAAAATGTAAAATTTAACTTCTTAAGAAGCGTTTTCCTCTTGCGAACAACAGAAATACACCTCAATTTACGTATACTATATAACACCTATCCACGGTGTCAGCTTACCTTTTGACGGCTTGGGCTGTGCAACGCTGTGGAATGTGTTAGTGGTTGTAGATGCCTCTGACTTGTCATCTTCGTCCTGGCCCTCCCTGGCCTTCGACATGTGGTGTTCCCCAGTGGGAGGGACACGACTGGGACATGGAACACTGGGGAGGGGTGGAGGCTGTATGACAGCGGGCTGGGGCGTATCACAGATAGACTCGTCCTCTTCCTCCTCCTCCATTAAAGTAGAGTTAGAGATCACACTGTCCCTCACACTCGACACAGGGCGGAATTTCTGGCTATCAGATCTCCATGCCTGAATACGTTCATTCACATCCATCGGGGGCACCATTTTAGGATTATTAGTTTTGATCAGTAGGGACTCAAAGAAGTTATTTCCCCATGGCTTACAGAACTCTGTACCAGTACTAGTATGTGAGCGCGCAGAGGGAGGGGCATACTGATTCGTCAGATTGTCATACTCCGACAAAACACGATGATAGTTTTTCATTGGCATCACAGGAATTGGCTTCACAGTCAATGAGGGGTTATCATTAGAAATAATATCCTCCATAGTAGAGTATTCGGACTGACATGAGCGCACAGACACTTGCTTTTGATACACTGGGAATTTACTAAGAGTGGGTGTGACCTGTTCCTCTGGGTCATAAGCTATACCATCTATCATCATTTCAGGAAGCATGTTTTTCTGCTTCCCCAAGTCACTGACACTCTGATCATCACACTGAATAGTTTCCAGTTTTTTTACAACCTGATCAAGGTTATCCCTACTTAACACTGATAAATTTGACATACTCCTCCTTTGTCGCGTCCCCTTTTTATTATTGTTGTTTTTACCACCATTAGGTGGAAGTTTATACATGGCAGAATTGATTGCAGAGTTATTAGCACCGAACTGACTAAAATGAAAGTTTGTTGCATTGTCCTCACGGCGAGGTGAGAAAATTGTCTCTAATTTATGATTGTGGAACATGCCTAACACTTTCCGTGATTGCACATTTGCACCCATAGATGGCGCTGATCTACGTCGTTCCCTTGGTGTCTGTTTTTGGTCTGGTATAAGACCAGGATCTAAGGCATCAAAAGGTTCTGCATACACAGGACTTTTGACACCTGAAGTGACAGATGAAGCGGCACTACTGTTACTATGGAGATGGAGAGCTGGAGGTTTGTACTTGGGAAGAGGACTTGTCTGGGTCTGAACAGAAGTCTTTGGTCGGTCTATCACTTGTTCAGACATAGTCCGGAATCCCCCAAGGTCTACCTGCATGGGTACACTGAGATTGTTATGTTTATGGGACTCATCCAGACTGAGAGCTCGGAGCATGCGCCGTTGAGAATTAGGTGTGACCTTGGCTACATTAGAGTCTCTGACACCTGTACTGTTGGCCACATCAAGATCATTCTGTGGAGAGGTGTACATTATATTTTTGTGACTATGCTGTGGCTTCTGTACATGCACTGAAGCATTGTTTAGATTGTCAGTTTGATGGAATTTTGTGTAGTCATCAGTCTGTACCGCCACACACGGCACTGGAGTATCGGGTTCTGATCCTTTCACAGAATTCACAGGAGTATTTACCACTGAACATTTCACTGATGGCACTGGGGTGGGGGCTGTGGAATTTTTCCATATATCCTCATAGTCACTCATTTTATCCGATAAACTGCTTTTGAAATATTGATTCTCAGGAAGTTGGAGAAGATCTAGAGAGGTGGTGCAGTATAGGTTTGATTTGTGCGGCGTGGGTTTAGGATGTGTGTGCGACAGTGGTGACTCCTCATTGTAGTCGATGGAGTTGAGGGAGGAGGAGCTGCCAGGTGTGTGGGGGGTGAGTGAACGACTACTTCCCCCACACCGATCGCACACTCTACCACTGTCCGTTAGACTAGACCCTGATGGGGAGTCTTCACGTAGAGGTCGACTTATCACCGGAAATATCCGCTCAGATGATGGTGTCCTCTCATGATCATTGTGAGATGTGTCACATGACTGTCCCATGGGAGCAGTATAACTGTGGCCCGATGATGATCTTTCATGAACCACTGCCCCCGACTGGGAGCCTATATCTGACGAATTCCTGTCATGATCCGAGGAACTCCTATCGTAACTGACATTGGAGCGCCTGTGTTTGCCAGAAGGGGTCCTGTCAGGACCTGAATGGTCAGAGCGGGACCACCGATTGTCACCCAGGTATTCCCGCGAACTGCCACTAGACTGACTAGAGACAGTGTGTGAGTTACTTCGGCGAGTACCTGGGAAGTGCTGAAGTGACTGGGCCATGTGGGGTCTCAGGGACACATGACCCGAGGCCTCTGGACCCACAACATTTCCCTGGATGTTGATCGGTTCACTAGTAGACTTGTGGAGCAGCACACTTTGTACCTTGTTCCTACAGCCCTCCTGTAGGCTGGCATTGGAGCCCTTGTCAAATCGGTATGATGTCCAGAAATCTGAGGATATGGAAACACACTCTACTTAGTGATACCAAATGTAAGGAACATGTGTTATACTACAAGAATTACACTACATCATAAATACAAACATCAAAACCATGAAAAACTTTATCCTTTCAAAAGAAGTCTTATGAATGTCAGGCAATAAAAACTATGGTACCATGGTGGACAGGAGATACATACAGGTATATATAAATATCAATTGATTTTCTCATGACTCCTGTGAATTTAAACAAATTTTTCGTTAAAAACTATCATCATTTACACACATCATTTTATTATACGAGAGAGAGGTACGGCATACCTTGCCCAAGGTAGGAAAGTGAGTTGAGTTCCTGTAAGGTACCTGCTCGCATGATGGTGGGCGGTAACGTCAACACACGGGGAAGTTCCTCCCTGTAACAAACCATAAAATCAGAGTAAGACGTTTACAGCCACTTTAATTCTCAGCTGTACATCATTCAGTCACCTTCGTTTCAAGAAGGTAATCAGCCACCCTCATTTTCAGTACATAATTCAGCCACCCTCATTTTCCGTACATAATTCAGCCACCCTCATTTTCAGTACATCATTTAGCCACCCTCACTTTCAGTACATAATTCAGCCCCCCTCATTTTCAGTACATCATTCAGCCACCCTCACTTTCAGTACATAATTCAGCCACCCTCATTTTCCGTACATAATTCAGCCACCCTCATTTTCAGTACATCATTTAGCCACCCTCACTTTCAGTACATAATTCAGCCACCCTCATTTTTAGTACATCATTCAGCCACCCTCATTTTCAGTCCATAATTCAGCCACCCTCATTTTCAGTACATAATTCAGCCGCCCTCATTTTCAGTACATAATTAAGCCACCCTCATGTTCAGTACATAATTCAGCCCCCCTCATTTTCAGTACATAATTAAGCCACCCTCATTTTCAGTCCATAATTCATCCACCCTCATTTTCAGTACATAATTCAGCCACCCTCATGTTCAGTACATAATTCAGCCACCCTCATTTTCCGTACATAATTCAGCCACCCTCATTTTCAGTACATCATTCAGCCACCCTCATTTTCAGTACATCATTTAGCCACCCTCATTTTCAGTACATTATTCAGCCACCCTCATTTTCAGTACATAATTCAGCCCCCCTCATTTTCAGTACATAATTAAGCCACCCTCATTTCAGTACATAATTCAGCCACCCTCATTTTCCGTACATAATTCAGCCACCCTCATTTTCAGTACATCATTTAGCCACCCTCATTTTCAGTACATCATTTAGCCACCCTCACTTTTACTACATAATTCAGTCACTCTTATTTTTACAACATAATTTTGTCTCTTAAAACACTGGCTCAATAATCAGACAACCAGTTTGGTGGCAGCAGGGTTTACAGAAACTAGGTCAGGGGGGTTCAGTCTTACTACTAAATTTCTGAGGGCCTTATTATTTTACAAGAATGTTCAAGAAATGAAGAAAAAACAACACTTTTCATTGACAGATCCTGATGTATTCCCCTTATTGGGAAAAGTCCTAAAGGGATGGCAATGCTTACATGTTTTGGTGGTAAAAGGCCAGAAGGTTGGCCACGTTACAAAAGTAATGATGCGAGCCCTGTAGCTGGAAGCCGTCCTCCGTCGACATGATCAGGTAGTGGTCAACATTGGCCACACCCTTCTCTGGGAACTGTACGCTGAGGGCCAGGGTTGGAGGCTGGCTCGACTTCCTAATGATGAAGTTCTGAAGTAGGTAAACACAACATTATCATACAAAGTGGATCTTAAACTTGTTCTTATTACATGTGATTAGTAGGAAAAGAAGGTCAGTGCGTTAAATATTGTATTGAATGGAAATGGCTTTAACACTTCTTATCATGTACATCACAAAATTATTTAAACTGACACAAACATGGGAAACAGTGTTATTTCTGTGTTTTCATGTCTTCACCTGTTTCCTAGTAAGGTTGGTGTTATTACATGTTACATAACGAGGACATGCTATGATGGTGTCACCACACTGTATAGAGCTTCCACATGTTAGGGGTTCAGTTCTATCACAGCTATACTGATTATTGCATGGCCAATGTGCTCATTTTCCTTTCAATATATTTCATGGAAGTAACATTAATTAAATAATAACATAAAATTAAAGATTATGGCACTGAATTTTCACTCACCCCAGGGTCGCGGTCCTTTAGGAGGTGGATCGCTCCTGAACGCCCTACATCTGGCAGGTACCATATTGCATGTGTCTTAGTGAGGCGCTCCTCAAAGGGGATGCTGCGCCCATGTGAACCACACGAGTCACTTCCTGACGTCTGGGCCCTCTCTGGGTAAGTAGGGATCTCCAAACCCTAGTGATGTCATCAAATTCATCAAGGTCAGAATTTATCAAGTTAGTCATTAAAATCATTGAAATTATCAAAGACAATAAATCACCAAAATCAATAAAAATCAACAAGGTAAGTAGTATACATCAATAAAGTAATCAAAATCAGAAATCTGTAAAACCAGAAAAAATTATGAAAAGCATTATTGACAATGTTGTATATGAGTATAACACACTAGTTCACAAGCATTTGAATGATTTCTAATTTCTCCCTCCACCGACCCAGGACAGAAGCCTCAGTATATTTAAAACATTCCTACCGTGTTGTAATACATGGCTGGGAAGGCATTGATGTGCACTACAGATATTGTACTACAGCCCCCTGCACTCTCCCCATGAAAGGTTTGATTTTAGAACGAGGAGACACCCTTGACTCATCCCCTTGGATTGTGTGTCATGATGTTATAATAGTTTGATGGACAATTGTGAAGTGAATTAAATGGGTCAAGAGCATGATACATACTTGGTATGATTCTGTCGTGGTATCCTTGTTATAAGGCTATCCATTGTTGACCTTCTTACATTGTAACATTGTCAAAAAGAAATCAGGGATCACCATGTAGTACCCCTGTCATAGTGTACATGTGAGGACCACTTATTACCCGTGACAGTGTGAGGACCATGTAGTACCCCTGTCATAGTGTGAGGACCACTTAGTACCCCTGTCACAGTTTGAGGACCCTGTCACAGTGTGCGGACCTTGTAGTACCAGTGTCACAGTGTGAGGACCCCTGGCATAGTGTGAGGACCATGTAGTACCCGTGTCATAGTGTGAGGACCCTGTCACAGTGGGAGGACCTGTAGTACCCCTGTCAGGGTGAGGAATGTGTAGTACCCCCGTCATAGTGTGAGGACCACATAGTTCCCCTGTCACAGTTTGAGGACCCCGTCACAGTGTGAGGACCATGTTGTACCTCTGTCACAGTGTGAGGAATGTGTAGTACCTGTGTCATAGTGTGAGGACCCTGTCACAGTGTGAGGACCTGTAGTACCCCTGTCAGTGTGAGGAATGTGTAGTACCCCTGTCATAGTGTGAGGAATGTGTAGTACCCCTGTCATAGTGTGAGGACCACATAGTACCCGTGTCATAGTGTGAGGACCCTGTCACAGTGTGAGGACCTGTAGTACCCCTGTCACAGTGTGAGGACCTTGTAGTACCAGTGTCACAGTGTGAGGACCCCTGTCACAGTGTGAGGACCCCTGTCACAGTATGAACCTTCAATTCCACTCTCCTTTTACATATCGTAACCCCAANTTGTACCCCTGTCACAGTGTGAGGAATGTGTAGTACCCCTGTCACAGTGTGAGGACCTTGTAGTACCCGTGTCACAGTGTGAGGACCCCTGTCACAGTGTGAGGACCCCTGTCACAGTATGAACCTTCAATTCCACTCTCCTTTTACATATCGTAACCCCAACCTTTAATAGGTCCCCCTTCCTTGTGTTCTCCCTTCTTGACTGAAGGACAGACCCTCCCCATTATACAGAACATTTTTATATCATAATTATCAGTTCTGTTTTGAGATCCACATTTTTTTGTTGAAAACATTACAGGAAACACACTAGTGAATCTCAAAAAGGGAGATTACTATTCCCCGAAATCTTCAAAGGCATGGAACATTTGTTGTACCTTGTTGTTGAGACCAAACACATCCAGGTGAGCAGATTTGAGCGAGTCACTTCGTGTCTTCTGCTCGCTGGAGTAGCTGTCTGTTGAAGCCAATGTTCCGAAGGCGCTGTCCTCCCCACGCCCAGGGCTAGTGTCAGTGTATGTCTGTTGGGTCTTCCTGTAAATTAACATGTCCTTCAATAAGTTTGATGGAAAAAAAATCAGAAATTTCCACAAATTCTGAAATTCATGTAAATGACACTCTCTCTCAAAAACTTTGGCGGAAAAAAGAAAAATCTTTCAATGGCTCTTGATGTAGATAAAGCTGCCTTTAAAAGTTTGTTTAAGAAAACTGTTATACTTTCATTAGGTCTGTAAGATTTGAAACGTTCATTGGCTGTTCATGAGATAAATACAGTTAATCTTTACATAAACATAAATTACCAGTATAACTCCTTAATCATTGAGAAAGACACTCGACAGGAAATACTAGATTAGATTAGGAATTGTATTTATTCAAATGTGAACAAATATTTGCTTAGTAATCTGTTTATCTAATGAATTTAAAAGTCTAGCAATACAATTAAAGACCTGTTTTAGGCCGTGCATCAGAAAACTTAATAGCTTTAACGACTTCTATAAAGTATTGATTTACACCTTAATGAGAAGTGCAGGTATCATCACATAATTGCTTGATTAAATATCCCCTATATCAGACACATGAGACTATGACCTAAGGACCAGCCTTAACTCACACACTATACCCACATCTTAGCAAATAAAATCTACATAAGCCTATGAAAAATATTTTGCCAACTTCTTTATTTCCTGTTTAAAAGATTTGAGCAGGTCACTGGGTACATAACCTTTATTTACAGGTAGAACTATGTATATATCCCGCTGAGTACGTTTTTTACCCCGCTGTTCCCCATTAATGAGCTGTGCCGACTATACCTGTGTTACACAGTACAATACTTCTGTACATGTCCTCGGATCTATTGGTAGTTTATGGTAATGAATACCTGTTTTTTGTACTTAGTCATTCCCATACATCCACCTCTACAGACGTAATGAGGACTGGGGTATTGTACATGGGATATACATAATATATTAGAGTTGGGTCAGAAACGTGTAGATCATGACCGGGGAAACAGTTGAAATAAGATTCTTACTAGACTATTACTACATCGATACAATCTACCATGAAATATTTCTCATTTGTGTGAAAACAATACAAATATCATGTATGGTGTAGCTGGTCGGTTTGACGCCTGTCGTGGTACATTGAGGACAGTCTGCCAGACTGCCTTGTCCCGCCTTCAGGCTTTGGTCGGTGACCCTCGGCAATACCAAGGTGGCCTCTGACACACGACACCCACAGCAGCTTAAACACTTATAACAATACTAGATAATAGCAGCTTAAATGTCCCCATTAGTCACAGTGTACGAAATGTAGTAATGCTACTGTATAAACAGGTGTTCCAACTACTGACTCTCTCATACATCCCTAAATCGCAATGTCCTGAGTTACCCACCCTCTCTTCATCGCTACATCACATTGTCCTGAGTTACCCACTCTCCCATACATCCCTAAATCACAATGTCCTGAGTTACCCACTCTCTCATACATCCCTAAATCACAATGTCCTGAGCTACCCACCCTCTCATACATCCCTAAATCACAATGTCCTGAGCTACCCACTCTCTCATACATCCCTACATCACAATGTCCTGAGTTACCCACTCTCCCATACATCCCTAAATCACATTGTCTTGAGTTACCCACTCTCCCATAATCCCAACATCACAATGTCCTGAGTTACCCACTCTCCCATACATCCCTATATCACATTGTCCTGAGTTACCCACTCTCCCATACATCCCTACATC